TCCGGAAATATGCAGCCTTCCGTGGAAACGAGTGCTTTCGTATACGCTGCGGTCGATGCTCGTTGAACGCCTTTTTGTGATGACGTTGAAGTCGTCGACCAAAAGGTCGAACGTAGAAGCTATGTCTCGGGCTAGTTGCTCTGTAAGTGTAGAGCGAGACACGCACCTAATTGCGCCTTTCTCGAGCACATGTACGGGTGTGACGCCTAACGTCGTCGAACATCTGAATCCACACCATCCGCTGCAACGCGTCGTCGAATCCAAACACTCGTTCAAGTCCGACGCGTTAGCGATAGCCGTCGAACGCTCGAGTCCACGCCGCCTGCTACAGGAGGTCGTCGATGTATCTACGCTGTTCACTGAATCCCGTCCGACGTGTCGTCAAAATTAGGCGGTGGCAGTCAAGCAGTGGGAGCTATGACGCTTGCTACTGGACGGCCTGGCTGATTCCTTCAGCCCAGCGCGATTTGAAGGTTATCGCGAGAGCTTAGATCACGAACAAGAACAGTGCCACTTCCCATAATCTATCGAGGAGAGAGTATCAGACAACCTTCCCTCACTCTTTTTGCTGTTGCGCAAGCTTGTGACACTCACGTCCGAGCAAGGCGCTCTTGTATTTCATTCAATTACACCATGCAGCCTCTCTTTTTTTTTACAATAATCTGCTGGGCACGCATCGAAAATTCTCTCTCTTATGCCCTACGGCAAAAAAAAAAAAAAATCTTCGCTCAATCTTGTTGGCAAGCAAGGCAAAACGACGTTGCGATGCTTGTATATTGTGCGCCTTAAAATGTCGTTCGAACGAAACAGCGCCGCCGCCCGGTCTTACCCATAAGTTTAGTTATCGCCAGGAGAGATAAGGGCCGACGAGCATGATCGCGACCACCATGATCGCGACGAATGGAAAACCTAAAATAGAGAGTAAGGGCAGCGAGTTCATCGCGGGAGGGGTAGGGGGTGTCGTGGCGTGAGAAGTGGACGCGAATCTGCTCGGCCGGTTGGCTCTCGCTCCATAATTTTATAAATCGCTGTAGACTGTGCGTGGGCGTATTGACAGGTTAAATTGCAGACATGGTGTCGTGTCCGCCGCGTGTGGTGGTGAACGAGCGACCCAGCTACATTGTAATTAGAGCCAGTTCCAGAAGGCATGAAAAACAGCCCCGGAATTTCATTAGGGAGAAGGCCTAAGAGGCCTGCGCCGCCGCGGTGATGTAGTGGCTAAGGTACTCGACTGCTGACCCGCAGGTCGCGGGATCGAAATCTGGCTGCGGCGGCTGCATTTCCGACGGAGGCGGAAACGCTGTAGGCCAGTGTGCTCAGATTTGGGTGCACGTTAAAGAACCCCAGGTGGTCGAAATTTCCGGAGCCCTCTACTACAGCGTCTCTCATAATCATATGGTGGCTTTTGTGTTTGTTTTATTTGGGCATTCTTCACAAAAATGCCCACGAAAAAGGACGTTAAACTCCACATATAAATCAATCAAGCCTAAGAGGCCTCATCAAACGCGAAACTTGAACGTTCGGTGGGGGCACAGATTCAGATGATGGAATGCTCAGCGGGTCAAGCGTTCTGCAACAAGTGTGAGATAACCACGCGCAAGCACTTATTAGCTCAGCGCTGACCAGTTTCAAGATTGTTGCGCTTGAAAGCAAGAAAAAAAAAACGCTCATTGGTACAGAGCCCCGAGAGTACATATATAAAACATGCAATTGTCATCATTACATCCTGGCCGCCATCGTTGGCCACTGTATATTTTATTGAAAAATAAACAAATCAAAAAGTTCCCGTTGTCGCCATTGCTGGACAACAACTACTTCTCTATACTTGATCGTCAGAATAAATATCAAAAAGGCAACTATATATATATATATATATATATATATATATATATATATATATATATATATATATATATATATATATATAATTTTACAGAGGAAATGCCACAGGCAAGAGTCACAATGGCTGACTGGCAAGCTTGCACCTCTCAATCAGCTGATTATGTCTTTCCTCTTCCTTTACTTCATTTTCGTAACAATATATATATATATATATATATATATATATATATATATATATATATATATATATATATATATATATATATATATATATATATATATATATATCAACAGACAAGTTCAAAAGTTCCTGTTTTATTAGAGCATGCCTACAATTGCGGTACACGTTTTTTGTGTAATTCACTTAATATTCATCACAAATATTGTTTCACCACAAAAAGAAAAGAACGTCACAGCAATTTGGTTAGTTTACAATTTAAGCCTGATCGTCATGGGCCTAGTGTTTTTGCTATTGAGAACGCCCATTCTTATGTCCTGTCGGAGCAGTCAAGGAATGAGCGCTGTTGTCAGTTTGATTTTCGAACGTATCAACATCACACTTGTAGTTCAGAAAAGCCAATTTCGGGTCACCAAAAAGTATTTCCTTTGACTACTGGTTATAGCTTAATTCTTTCGTCGTGAGCTCACAATAAGATTTCGCTTAATGTATTTCAATTTCTTGAAGTCTGATTAACGGCAACCGTAAAGTGAGAGAGATAGATAAAAGCAAAGTAATTGCAGAGAGGTTAGCCATGTCGAACTCGGTTTGCTTCGCTACACGGGAGAAGGGGAAAGGGGAGAAAAAGAATATAGAAGTAAACAGAGGTAAAGTAATACGCACTGGCACGCAAATATGAACGTGCCCATGAACATGACCAGAAACTGTGAACTCGGTAAGCGTAGAGTCTTCACGACACCTGTAGGCGCAAAACTATATTCCCACGACAAAGAAACAAACCGTAAGCAAAATAGGCGGAAGTTGTACGTCCCGGCAGCAGTAATGTGATACAACAAAAAAAGAGAAAATGATAACACCAGTTTGGGTCATAGGTGAACTCTCAGTAGGCTTCGTGGCTGAGCCAGACAACAAGTACAGCAGGTACTCGGACCTGTTCAGCTGCCTGGTATCCCACTTTATTGTTCGAGTATGAAGCTGCCGGCGGAGATGCTACATGAAATGTAACACTGTTACGTTTAACGCATCCCATTGAGCTCACTCGCGAATGAACACAGTCGTGAACTACAATAATTTATCGTTGCTCTTCATGCTCTTCTTGGGCAAAATGTCACAAGGTTCCTTGTGCTAGTTAACGAATAAAGTGAGCGAACATAGTGAGACCGTTTATATAGTGAAAGCCAAGCTTCCCGACAGCACTTGATAATGTCAGCAAAGATGCAGCTGCAGACGCCGCGTTAGCTAGGAAGTAGACTATAGCGTCTGCGCGAATCCGCGTAATGAATTACAATGGTCATCTGCTCAATGTTGACCTTCGTTTTCTCAATACAAGTGGGTAAAGCGATTATAACTTCCTTGAGCGTTAGACGCACTGGCCTACATGACCCAAACAAGACGATTCCGTCTTTCCGATTGCGCAGTGTCCTATGAGATGTTGTAACAAAGGCAGAAAGAAAGAGAAAAGAAGCTTATAACTGATCAATAACATTTTATTAGGAAATGATCTAACATATACGTAGCTCAAGTGACTTGGATAACGACAAACATGATACCACTTTCCATTTATCTACGTTGCGCGGAACTCGACGTATGCGTTGATGCAGATGGCAATGAAAAAAGTCACACCACCTGTCCGGTTCTTCCTCTGGTACGGTCCACTTATTTATACTCTTAACGTATAATAACATGCGGCTCCAAACACTCTCATCTAAGTTATTCGCTAACATCCGCTGCCACACTAGACAATCGCCGGAGCCTAACGAAGAAAATTACCCTACGCATTGAGATCAAAATCCACGATGAAAAGGATACACTAATCACAAAGCGATAACGGGGAAACTCTATGCCTCTATAATTACGTGCTTGAAAGTGATGTTTTCTCGCATCGACGTTGCATAACAGCCGGGTGGTTTCTGTATTTGAAGACAGGAGTTGCTAATTAGCGGGACTTACCACATGCACGCGTGCGTAATCCTTGCGTCTTGCTTACCTCATAACTTTCAGACACACCTTCATTAACCAGCCATACTTGTTTTCTTTATCGTCTGTTCAAACCAACAGGTACTCATGCGCACCCACTACCTCGGTCAGGACAACTCGTCAGTCATTTCTTGGAAGTCCGCAAGGTAGGCTCTACAACGTTCCCAAGAACGCGGGGGAGTGCAGAGGACACGTAGAAGCAGTAAAGGGGCTGGATCGCTTGAACGGATGATTGATTCAACATCCCGCTCAAGATCCGTCTCCCCATTGTGTTTTCGGCCACGACTCGTGGACAAGGACACGAGCAAATGTTGCCCCGAGGCGAGAGATTCACGTCAACGTGGCGAAGAGAACCGGTGGATAATGCGAAAATCACGGTCCCTCTCCCAGGCGTGATCACTGCGAGCTTCCAGGGTTTGCGTGTGCACATACCGGTGGGATTTCGCGTTCGTCACCGCCTTCTTTCAGCGCTGACCCCCGTGGACCCCGCCGATTTTACTCACTCCCTCACACGGCACCAGCCGTTTGGCCCTTACTCGAAGGACCAAAGAGCGCGCGCCGTGGTCACTTGAAACAAAAGTACATCGAGGGAAAGGGATTGCCGTTCGAATCTGGAGCATTCCGGAGCTATAGCGTCCGAGCGTCTGTGTGAGCATGCGGCATGCTCATCCCCGTAGTTATACCTCGCCACTGGTACGCGCGGCCAACTCTCTCCTCGTGGTGGTGGTGGTGGCCGGACTCTGCTTTTGTGCGTTTTTGTGGCTCGTCGAGGGGAATATGAGAGCGTAGCGGAGAAAGGGCACTCGAGCGGTGAAAGGTGAAACGAAAATCGCCGCCCGTCGGCGAGGAGGTAGAGCGGCCAGGGTTAGAGGCCCTCCACACACACGATTGTCCGCGAGCGCTGCTGCCGCTGCGCTTCGTGAGGTCCAACGTCGCCGACGCGTTGCGCAATGTAGGTCGGCTGCACCTGATTGGCGGCGGAAGAAGCGGCGCCGATGGCCGGGCGTAGCTCTATAAAAACCGAGATGAGCTACGGCGGGAAACTCATCCTTCCGACACTTGCCCGAAGTGCTCCAACACCGGTCTCACGCCGAGTCTCGACGCCCGTCGCCATGCACAAGGTGAGTTTCGCCGATATGGACCGGAACGATAGGACGCACTCGTAGCGGCGACCGGTGCGGTGGCACGCTCCCTGGATTTGTGCCCCGTCCTCGGTCTCCGCGATTCGAGTCCACTTCGAAGTACACGGATAAGGGATTACGGCAACGTAAACCAACCGTCGTGCTCTTAACGCGCCCGAAGTCGCTAACCCGGACTTGGTTGACTTAGCACGTTCGATCATTCGGTGCTGCTGGTTTGATTCCGCATTTGTTCGTTTCTTCTGTCGGCGCTCACAGCACCTGACGTCTGAGAAGTCTGTCGATGAACAACCTTATGAATCCAGTATGTAGATATTGATGTGTTTTTGCAGAGGTTTCGGGCTGTTCACTGTCATTCTTCTTTAGCTTTAACGTTTGTTTCGAAGAGCGTTGCTGGGTTGCCTTCACCGTCGGCTTTTTTGAGCCACCCCTTTAGCACCCGCAAACTGTTCCAGTTTATGCTGCAATGTGTTTAAATACTTTTCCATTGATGCACCCCTGAACACGTTCAAAAGCAAATATGATAAGAACACGTGCTGTCATACAGCACTTGGCCATGTACAACCTCTCAAGTTATTTTCAAATAACTTCATCTGCACGACTGTTTTAGAAGCGTACGTTTAGCGTACAACTTGCGGTTGCCCCCGTTTGTCCCACAGCAGTATTACGCCACGTTTTCTCCTTCAGTGTCGTATACTTACGCGCAGGTAAACGTTAGCTGTGAAAGTTGATCACCACGTTGCATAAAGCTCCCAACCGGCAGTCGTGACTCCCTTATTATAATATCTTAGTTTAACTGAACAGTGATTTTTTATTTGTCTGATCGCTAATAATAAGGTATCTTTATACAATCTATTCAAAAGAAAGATCCCTTTGTAGTTAACATTGGGTTACGTTCAGACGCGCCCACGTTAAATGAAGCTGTTATGGTTAAACAATGCAAGGCCAGATTGGTTTGTAGCAAGTCCTACACAACTCAGTAATTTTTTTCTACCTGTAGCGCTAAGTCTCATAATTTGCGAGGTACTTGTGAGACCGAGTGATCGGTTGCTAGTTAAAGAGCCCTAATAAGCGAAAGCCGGTAATGCGTATTGTTCTTACACAGTAGCTCTGTTTGCAGCATGATTCAAGCGGAAGGTCTTCTTAATAAACCCAACCCCTTGTTGTATTCAAGCTGTTTCACGCATCATTGGCGCAGTCTGATAGCCTTGTACATTCGAGCTAAAAATCTTTTGGGAACTTTGCATGGTTTTAGGGCCACTTTTCCCATCATCACTTTAATTTCACTGAATAAGGAAGACACCACTTCCTTTATTGAACCAGCGTTCTTGACAGGTTACTTAAGTAAAATTGCGTGTGCGTCGTTCGGATGGCTAAATTAGCTCCAAACTAAATTTTATGCACAGTCTACATCTGTCTCAAAGACCGTAAGCTTTCTGCAAGCGAAATATGATCAAGTGCGCACGTGAACAGATTTTGTTTTACAAGTGCCTACACCATAATACCCGGCTGAAGAACAAAGGTTTATTTTTCTGAGACAGAGACAGCAAAGGAAGTAGAAAAGAGCAAGATTAACCTAAATGGTAAAAAGACGATGCTCTGGAATTCATGAATGTTGTTTTTGGCAGTCGTGAGAATGAGAAAGAGTTATAAACTTTATTTTACGGCCAGGCGCGTGTTTTCTCTTTGCCCAGAGGTAGCTCACTTCCTTTTTCCAGGTAGCCGAGAATTAAGCGCAAAAATTAGACTTCCTGCATGCAGCGCTTACGATGTCATCCTGGCCGATCCCCGAGAATAATAGCAAAACAAACATCTGTTGCTTTGAAATAATGTTTCATTCATTCAAGTGCATACTTTCCTATTCAGTGTCTCATGTTGCATTCGCCTTTTTGTTTTGTTTTTCAGCTCGTAATCCTCTTCGCCTGCATCTGCGTTGTCGTAAGTTACCTTTCATCAAATATTTCAAGAATTAGCATATCCTTCTCGGAAGGAAAAAGCATGAACACACGCTAGAAATGTAGTCTTTTAATGAACACTCCATAAAATGACACGTCATGTCGCTTCAGTCGCAGAAGCATACAAGAGAAAAAAAAAGCGAACGTCGCGTTGTGAATAGTCGCTAAAAGGTTGTACGGGGATGTCCTAACAAACTTCATGTTTTTATATGAGCAAAAATTTTTATTCTATGAGAGAGATACAACTGATCACATACGTTGAGGCATGAAAACATCCGTTGTATGAAAAATAGACGTGATGCGTTCGGCGCTAATATAGTGCTTTAGCAGTGCCGGTTTGCCGCGTTAAGTAGAGAAATGCTGTATCATCTAGGTAGACATGCAGCTTTCTTTAAGACTATGTAGTAGCACGAGTTGCTTCTTGTGTACAACAACGTAATGAGATTACCATTAGATATTACCAAATTTTCAATTATGATATCCTTAACCCCGGTTTGTTCCCTAATCCCCTCTTCTCTCTTCTTGTCTCTTAATCATAGTTGAAATCAAGAAGGGGTAATGGACATGGGCCGAGCATGTAGCCCGTAGAGAGGATAACCGCTCTTCATTAAGGGTAACTAACTGGATTCCCACAGAAGGGAAGCGGGTTAGGAGGAGACAGAAGGTTAGGTGGGCAGATGAGATTAAGAAGTTTCCGGGCATAAATTGGCAGCAGCAAGGACATGACCAAGTTGACTGGTGAAAGATTGGAGAGGCCTTTGTCCTGCAGTGGACGTAGTCAGGACGATGATGATGATGATGATGATGATTACCAAAGTGGCCTATGGCGGTCTTGTTGACCGAAAACAAACTACATGCCGAAAACTATGGTACGGTATTTTCGTACTTATCGTACGGTAAAGGTGGCATAGGTAAACAAACCTAAATTATTTAAGGCTCGAAAGTTCACGTGAATATAGCATTTGGAATTGCAGAAAAAAATGGCTTGTATAAGCTTTACTGCTAAGCATTCAACATATATGTTTCAAAATGACAAAAAACTCATAAGAAGACGATGAGAAGCTACCATGCCAACTACTTTGAGTCAATCAGAAACTGCTGTGACTAACTTAACGTTCGTGAACGCAGAGCACAATGTTACAAAAGTTGGTAGGACTTCACCGTAAATGATTTTTAACTGCGCTAACAAAGGTGGACATTGACGACGGGAGGAGACTATACACACGTCTAATCTTCTCCTCTCTTCTTTCGTTAGTGTTTATATGCGCTCTTAAAAAAATTATTTACAACGTTTACGAAAGTGCCACACGCGCCCTCTCAACGGCATTCTCTGAACGCAGGCCGCACAGCGGGGCTTCGCACCGGTGGAGAACTACCCTCCGATCCCGTACTCCTTCAACTACGCCAGCCAGGACGCCGAGGGCTCGCACACGCATGAGCAGAGCGGCGACGGCGCCGGACGCGTCACGGGGCGCTACACCATCCAGCTGGCCGACGGCCGAACGCGTACAGTCACCTACACGGCCGACGAGAACGGATACCGTGCCGAGGTCGTTACCAACGAGCTGGGCACCGAATCCAAGAACCCCGCTGACGTTGTCTTCCAGTCGAGCGCCCCGACCGGACCCGAGGCTGCCATCGCCAACGAGCCCAACAGGATTAGGGGCTAAGCACCGAGACGCACTCCTTGCCCGATCGCCTCCGCTTCCTTTTTACCTGCGACGTTATGTTCCTTCCGCGGACTTCTTTCGAGCATCTGAAGTCCCAGTGTGTCACAAGGCGTTGTAAATTTCTGTCCCTGTTCTTTCCTTGTCTCTCTTTCTTATTGTAATTGTGCGCTGTTAAACGTCCTTCTTCACTGTCCCAGTGTTGAACGTTGTCTCATTATTGCGCAGTTAGCTGCCCTCCTGTGTCCATACGTATATCACTGCTTCATCATTCAGTAGGTGGATGGATAGAATCCTTCTTTGGCTCAGAACACGCGGCTTCGCATATTACGTGCACAGGCCTGCGTAAAACTCGGGTTCGGTTCTCTTCCGTGCGGGTATACATCGTTGGGGAAATGCTTTGCAATATAAGCGGGTCGTGGCAGCCGCTGGTGTACGGCTTGGCTTGCGGTACTACATCTGTTTACTCTCAGAAGCGAGATCTTCTCATTCCTCGTTCCGGTTGTAGTTTTTTTTATCCCTCGACCACACGTGCCAAGTTGCGCGATTTCGTCAACGAATACGCTGTTGCCTTAAGTGAACGTTATGTGTGTTTTGTCCCGACGTCTTGTCCTCGTTTGTCGCTACCTCGACGTTCCCTCAGCACCTGCCTCTTCACTGCTGCCGTGGGGAAAATGTCTGCCCGGTGTTGTGACTCTGGTGTACACGCGTGCATAATAAAGAGGGATACTCATAGCCTGCCATTGCTTGAGTTTTCATTGATTTTGTCAAGCTCCGTGCAAAATGTAGGGAGCTAATGTACTGAAATTGAAATTTCATAAACTAAGGACGATTTAAAAGAGTTGTCCGGCAAGACGACATGTTAATGGAGCCGATAAATGCTTATGCTATACATCTCGTAAAATACGTGAAACGTTTCGGACTCTAACTTTCGTATTTGTGTTCCTCGTCTGCCACCCTTCGGTCCTTTCGAGGAGGAAGACATGAGTGGCTGATGATGAGGACGGGATTAACAACATTGCAGAACAAAGACTTAGCTATCAGACCACGCCCCCCCCCCCCTTTTTTTTCACCTTTATTGATATTCAATTGGCAGCAGAGACGAAACTTCGGAGGATTACTGACTTGAGACATGTCCACTTCGGGCGAAAAAAGACGAAAGACAAAGCAAAGGAAACAGATACACTTGGTCCTTTGGACTTTCCTTCTTTTTTGCGTTAAGCAGATATGTCTCAAGTCAAGGATCCGCATCAAATAGGCCGACTCCTAATTCTAGTACGTCTGGGGAACGTACCACGCCCATACATCTGCCCCCTATCACGAGAAACTAAGTTCTGACATTATTGAGTACAAGGTCTTCGCGATCAACTGGTATCCCTATTCACTTCATTGTATATATAGCTAGTGCATGCCTCGTGAAATAAGCTCTGCAACATTTTTGGTTAACCTCCCTGCCGTTCTTTCCCTCCTATTTTCCTTCCTTCTGCGACATTACCGCCTTCATGAAAGGCATATGTCAAGCAGGCTTTAGCGATAATATGCCCGAATGCAAATTTTCCCTCTGTTTCAATGCCTATACGGCGTACACATTGTACGAATACCAAGTTGTACGTTCATCACTTTGTCACAGGTTACATTAGGATTCGTGCTTTCCTTAGTTTAATCCGCCATGCACTCCCGTAAAACACAGCAGTGAGCATGTAGTTAGGCTATGTCAAAGGGTCGGATCATGAACCCAACCTAACGCGGTCGTCAACACAGTGTTCGCCTCCATGCTGCAGTCACCGAACGTGCATCGGACCTGCAGAACTGCTCGCATTGAGCAAACACGCTGGTACACAGCTAAACCCCAAATGAATCTGCTGGTAATTACCTGAAGATGCTTACCAAAACAGTTTGCATCGTAACGTAGTTTCCCGTAGCCTTGAGACCAAGGTACTTTTTTTCAGTTTTTTTTAAATGCGAAGCATTTCTCAATGACCAGTTGTTGTCCTGTCCTGTAGCACGTAGACAGGATAACCGCTGGTCATTATGGGTAACTAACTAGATTCCCAGAGAACGCAAGCGGGTGAGGGGGGAGACAGAAAGTTAGGTGGGCAAATGAGATTAAGAAGTTTGCGGGTATAAATTGGCAGCAGCAAGCACAGCATCGAGTTAACTGGCGGAACATAAAAGAGGCATTTGTCCTGCAGTGGACGTACTCAGGCTGATGATGATGATGATGATGATGATGATGATGATGATGATGATGATGATGATGATGATGATGAAGCATTTCTTAGCAAACTTCGGCATCCTTGAGCGTATCTATCTATCTATCTATCTATCTATCTATCTATCTATCTATCTATCTATCTATCTATCTATCTATCTATCTATCTATCTATCTATCTATCTATCTATCTATCTATCTATCTATCTATCTATCCGCCTACGACTTTTAGGTCTCCTGACCGTTTCGATAACGGTATAGATACCAAATTTGCTGTGGCACAACATGATTGTATGAAGAACATATTCGACTAGTGATAATATAAAAATTGTGACATGGATGCCATGAATATCATGATTTACTTTTCACGGTCCTGCAGCTCTTGCGGTGGTTTCGTTCGCAAGGTATGTTGCAAAACTGGTATGGTATGGTATGATTGCATGGCGAACACAAGCGGCATACCCTAACATGAAAATAACAATATCCGTGTCGTGTAACAACACGAATACATGATACGCTCATGATGCGCTCGCGGCCATTTCGCTATCGTCACATATATCAAATTTGGTATTACGGGACGTGAATGAATGACGAAGGTTCGATACTGGTGCAAACATGATAATCATGAGATGTTTGTCATGTAACAACTAGACCACACGCTGATGATGCGCTCACGACCATTTCGCTAGCTTCACATTTACCAAATTTGGTATTACGTGACGCCTATGGATGACGAAGGTATGTGACTGGTACAAACATGATAATCATGAGATGCGTGTCATATAAGAACATGACTACATGCCACAGTAGTCATGCGGTGCGCGTGCCCGCCGGTGTGCATGCCCGCCGGTGTCCATTTCGTCGTGTCGCACCAGCAATGCCACGCCACGTGCTGGTCCTGCCATATACTCGCAGGCGCGTGCCGCGCTGCGTTGCTTTGACCCATACACATTTCAGAGCGTCCGGCATCCCTCCATCACGAAAAGAGGAATACGCAGTGTTGTCGGGGTAACGCATCGGCGCGAAATGCAGCATGTCACATTTCGCGCCGGTTGCCGTCGGGCCGCGCCCACGGACGTTGGACGTGCCTGGCGTCAGACTATAAGTGCTCGCGTTTTGCTAAGGTAGCATCGCTGTGACCAGCGTGTGCACGCGTCAACGCTACATTGTAGTATATTGGGCCCTTCATGATGCGCTCGCGGTCGTGGTCGCATTGCTAGCTGCACACATTCCAAATTTGGTGTTACGTGGCGTCAATGGATGACGAAATATATTACTGGTGCAAACATGATAATCCTGACGCGCGCGTCATGTAAGAACATGACAACATACCACGCTTATAGTGTGCTCGTGGCCGTTTCGCTAGCTCCACATATACTAAATTTGGTATCGCGTGACGTGAATAGGCGAAGAAGGTAAACGACACATCCAAACATGATAATCATGGCACGGAAGTCATGTACGACATCATTTGCCTCCACCTCGTGACGTTGTGCTGATTTCAAAGTGACATATCAACATTTCTCATTCGTGTTTCGCATATCATCGAATACCACTGTACGTGGGATCTGCCAATTGTTTTTAGATAGAGCTGAATGGCAGACGGCTAGTGGTGGTGAAAGGCGTAAAATAAAGGAATATAATCGTTCCGAGATTGCACCCTGATTGATTGATATGTGGGGTTTAACGTCCCAAAAACACAGTATCATTGTGAGTGACGCCGTAGTGGAGGACTCCAGAAATTTCGACCCCATGGGGTTCTTCAACGTGCAACCAAATCTGAGCACGCGGGCCCGCAGCATTCACACCTCCACCGGAAATGCAGCGACCGCATCCGGGATTCGATCCCGCGACCTGCGGGTTAGCAGCCGAGTACCCTAGCCAATAGAGCCTCGCGGCGGGGCCTGAGATTGCACCCGAGCACCTACTAACGACGTACAGTGCTTCGCACTGTGCTTTACCCAGGTGGTTGGCTAGCACCACATGCGACTGCATAATTCAACGTGACAGCTGCCTCAAGGGACTATATAAGCCATTTGTTTCAGAAAGCGGACACTGCGCTTTGCACACAATGGATACCACCTAAGCCCTACTACCCCTTGTTACGCTATTGCGCACCGCCTAAAAGACGAACACTTGAGATAACGTAACGTAATGATGAATAGCTACCAACTCGCCCAAGCAGGCACCCAACAACTACTTCCATTTTCCCTCCCTGGGGTTACACCGAAGACGCTTTTACCTGGGTTGCCACTTAATGCTTCCTCGATATTCCTAAGCAAACACTGAATAAATAAGTAAATTATGTTGATGCTCACCTTCAGGGTGGTAGTCATAATTTTTTTCTCGTGTGAAAGGCGAGGCTTCAACCACCCGTTACGTATATGTTCGTGCATGTGTCTGTGTCTGTAGTTTAAAAGCGTAAAAATTTTAGCTTGCCTCATGAATACAGCGTAAAAAAACAGCACAGGTATGCGACATATTTCATTTTGTATCGTACTGCATTCTATTATTACGCTTGTTTATTTTCTTTTCCATTGTACAATTATTTTTTTCATTTATTTGTTGATGTATTTCCTTTTTATGCTTTATTTGCTGTGAACTTTCCGCAACTCCCCCCTCCCTACTCAATGCTCTTCGGGGCCTGTTGGGTACCATAATTTAATCAATGAATTGATAAATAATTATTTTTATGCATATGTAACTAATAATTATTTAAATATTAATGAAATAATTTTCCTGTATACCCGTGCCATTTCTTACGCTCTATCTTTATACCAGAAAAATTGAAAAATTCCAGACATAAAAGGTTCAACAGCATCCCTCCCCTTGACTATACCAGTGCCCTCGTCATTGTACACGGTAAAATATCCCACACTTCCAACCAGCGGTTTCACAAAGTCAGGCAGTGTGAAACCGCAGCCATTGCACCTGGTGTTTGCAGAAAACTTTGCCATGCTTCAAGAAGCTGCTCGTTAGAGGTTTTTAATTGGCAAGACCATCTGTTTTCATACACTGCGCTTAGACGTTCTAGCACCCAACATCTGGTAAAGAAAGACGTATAGCCGTAGAGTTGTGGTGCCCACATTAACGCCAAACCTGACTTAACCGCAGAATTATTTCCGACGCTCACGCCTCAGCGGCGATTTGCATCGCCGCATGGTGAACGAGAGAATGAACGCCCTCACGGGTCACAAAAGGCCGGGCAAGGACGGCGGTGGGTTAGACGCCCACGTCTACCGGTCCCTCGTGTGGGAACAACGCATTGTATTTGCGATTGTTAAAGAAACAAGGGAACTCGCACAAACCCGTATGCTCACACACCCAGAGGCGGCACGAGAGCGATTCGGGCTTATGGCGCAACGGCATCCGTCTGCTGCTGCCCTTCAGCTACAACTTATTTAAACTGAAGTAAAATACAGGGCTTCTGTTCTGGAGGTTAAGTTTTAACATATAGCTTATCTCTTAACAGCGGCAAAACTCCAACAAGTTAAACGCTGCCAAAAACATTAGATAGCGAAGCTAGTGTAAG